ACTCTCTCTTCGAGTCATTATTGTTGAACAATGTCCGTTTGTTGAGTCTTTCGGTCAATTTTTATTCATGTGGGGGATTGTTGGAAAAAATAATTTTTAGTGACTTTAATTTAATATTAAAGTGTGGTGACTTTAATTAAATATTGAAGTGGGTCCCAACCTTTTATTGTGTTAGGTCCAAGTGAGCCAAAAACCATTAGGTTTTGAATATGAAATTGCCAAGAAATTGCCTAATGATGTTAGATTCATGAATAGGATTTTAAAGAGTATTTAAATCCTTTTTCTTGGCTAAAGGGTGTGAATCCTTTGGGCATCCAAACTTTCATATTTTTGGAAAGGGGCTATGGATGCTTGGTGTTTTAATGACCAGCCTTAAAGGCTGGAGGCTCTTCTTCTCTCCCCTTTACATGTATAAATTGAGACCCTCCTATCAAGTTTCAATATAGAAATTTTTTGCTTCCATTTTACAAGTCAGTTTGCCAGAAAGTTCCTACATTGAGAGAATGCTGCCACTGTTCTTGTTCGCTGAGCTAGACAGAAAGTGCTTCTGCCGTAGCTGGTTTTGACCGTCGTATTCTGGGAGACAGATGCCGGGATTCCTCAAGCACTCGACCCGTGAGGCGGCGAGATCTGTTTTAAGGAAACTGCTTCCGTACAGGCTTCAGTTTCGTCTCTTTACCCTTTTATTGTTTTGTGTATTTCTGTTGAAATTTAATTGTTATTATCATCATATGTTCTTGGTATATAATTTGATTTCTTCATAAATCTATTTATTTAATTTCACAATTTGAACAACAGATGTCCGAGTAGATGTTCTGGATGTCATTCGGACATGAATAAAAAAAGTTGCCAAATTGCCTTATGTGGATATTCGGATGAACATCCGGAAGGACATCCATCTAATGGTAACAATTTAAATTTAATAAATGATCAAATCTCTCTTCATTTGATGAAAAATCTACTTCTCCCTCTATTTGATATCACTTTGATGAAAACATTAGAGCTTACTTTTTAAGATTTTTTTTATCAAATTTAAATTTGATGATAACCTCGTTTGGCAAGTGGCCTTTTTAGTCAAAAAGTCATTAAAAAATCAAAAAGCCAACAACCTATACTAAAAAGATAAAGATTCTCTTTTCTCTCTACTTTTTGCACATCTTTTCGCAAAAAATTAAAAAGTCATCTCAAACATATTATTTTTTTTTACATCATATTTTAGTCAAAAAGTCAAAAAATTACTAAAAAAGCCCGCCAAACGAGGCCTGAATTTGAATAAAAGTTAAAGATAGTCTAAGGTGCTTGTATATTATTATTCACAAATCACAATATTTCACCATGGATTCAACTTCTTGTCTCTGATTGTAGGTCATTTCTTGGGCTTGATTAGTAGGGGTACAATTCGGGCAGATTGAGAGGTTATCCAAGCCTTTGCTAAGACCTATCCAAACCTAAATTGTAACTCGAGATTGTCTGTTCAAGTCTGACCCAAGGTAAACCCGAATTACTTGAGTTGCCTAAATTGTAAATAAATTTCGATTTTTTTTCCTAGCTAAATTATTAATTTATTAAAATTAAACTCTATTTACATTTTTTTAGAAAACTATTAATAATATCAAAAAATAATAATTTATATAATATAAGAGATTCTGCTATAATAATCTTTATAATTTATGAGTGAAAATAAAAAATATAAAATTTTGTGTTACTTGTATATATAATATATGACTTAATGATTTAAATTACTTTAATATCATGTAATGACTAATAATTTATATGTATATTTAATATTTTTATATATCTAAATATCTAATTTGGATTTTGGATTATTTGATGTCTTTACCCAAACCTGTTCAAATTTAATTTCGGACTTTTAAATTTTTGTCCAAACCTCTACCGAATTCAAAAATATCTTGTCCAAACTCTTAAAAAAATTAAGTTGGGTATAGGTTGAGTCCGCCCAAATTACAACCCTAGCGATTGGGCCGCCTCTCTTTTGCATATTTAGAGAAAGGCAAACGCTCTCGTGGACAAATTAGCTAATGTAGTTATTTTTGCACAACAAGGGTCTCTTGTAATGTATCCTCGATCTCCCTATTTTGGTAAAATCTTTTTCTAAACAATGACATCAGTGGAACGGCTACCCGACGATGTGTAACCAATTAAATAGTATATTTCTATAAATAAAGTTTGCCTCTTTATTAAAAAAATAAAATAAAAATGTAAGTTTGGAATTTAGGCTCTATTTATTTTGGCAAACAATATTATTTAGAAGACAGATTTTTTTATTTATTTAGGAGTGGTTTGGAATGTGTACTTTTTGACTTTTTATGAAATATAGATGGGTATAGGTTAAGTTTGAAGTGATGTGATAAAGACGTGATATGACTTAAATAGGATAGTTACTTTTTGACTTTTTTAATATATGCCAAACAAGTCGCTCTAAAAACAAAAGTTAATTAAAAAAATATTCTTCATGATCATTAAAAAATAAATTTATTTGAATTAAATGAAATTTTACTTTGGGAAGACACCCACCCCACTCTACTTAACACTAGGGACCACTACTATATTTACTAGTATATTAATTTTGAGGTCACAATTAAATATAAAAAATAACTTTATGAAAAAAATTCTAAAAAACATTTTTCATGAAATAAAAATTTCATTAAAATAGACCGTGCCTTAAAACGTAACTCGCTTGAATAATATGATAAGAGTAAAAATGTAAGGTATGAATTAAATTTGGACCACATTTTTTTAGATAAAATTTTGGGAAATTTTTTTAAGTATATAGCATTGTTGTTTATCAAAATGATAAATCTAATTACCCAAAAAAATTTACCATGAAATGGATCCATGTGGGGTGTAGATTTAATCGTTATGTGGTAGGTCCTACACATGAATTAAATCTAGATAACATATTGTTTTTTTGGGATAAATTTTCTGTATGTAGCATTGTTGTCTATCAAAGGACAAATCTACGTACCTAAATTTTTTACCATGAAAGACCACATGTATTGTGATAATGATTTAAAAAGCAATGAAGCACACAATAAAATCATCAAATAATATTATTATTAAAAAGGAAGTCTAATTATGTCATAACTACATACATTTACTCCTAATCCAAAGAGGAACAACACTGTCCTACCTGAAATAAAACCCTTCTAATTTGGGAATCAAAATCCTAACTATCTTCAGATTAAACTGCTTACAATTACCGGCTATACATTATACATATAAATAAACTACATACATACATAGCTAATCCAAGTATTCAGTGGTAATATTCATACTTGGAAGTTCTGAAGAAGCACTTGAAGCAATTTAAGTTCTTGAAGTAGAGTTGAGGCACTTGAAGTAGCTTTTTGTGGGTGATGAGATGAATGACATGAATGGAGGGTTCACTGGTCTGTCGACCACCACGGACGATGATAAGTTGCTCCTCACGCGAGGGAATTGGGATTGTGATCTCCTTGAAGAAGAAACATACTATTCACCATCTGTATCCTTCTTAGAAGTCGATGATGATAACTCCTCTTTTACATCGTGGGATTGGAAATCTGATGTTGTCGAAGAATTCAAAGTTGAAGAAAACTTTTGCCGTACACGGTGGAATTGGATGTCTGATCTTCACGAAGATGATGAAGAAACATACTATTCACCATTCCTATCCTTCTTAGAAGTGGATGATAACTCCTTCATTGCACCGTGGAATTGGAATCTTGATCTTAATGAAAATGAACAAACAGAATCACGATTCTTTGATGATAATTTCTTCTTTATGCCTTGGAATTGGAAGCATGATCTTCATGATCTTCTTGGAGATGAAGAGGAAGAAACTGAAGAAGAAGAAGAAGCTGAAGAAGATAAAGAAGAAGAAGAGGAAGAAACTGATGAAGAAGAAGAAGAAGAAGCTGAAGAAGACGAAGAAGAAGAAGAGGAAGAAACTGAAGAAGAAGAAGAAGACGAAGAAGAAGAAGAAGAAGAAACTGAAGAAGAGGAAGAAACTGAAGAAGAAGAAGAAGAAGAAGAAGAAACTGAACAAGAGGAAGAACCTGAAGAAGAAGAAGAAGAAGAAGAAGATGATGATGATAGTTCTTTCCTCAAGCCATGGATTTGGAAGCTCAACCATCCTATAGAAGAAGAGGAAGAAGAAACTGAAGAAGAAGAGGCGGACTATTCACCATTCGTATCCTTCTTAGAAGTTGACGGTAATTCCTTCCTTACGCGGTGGAATTGGAAGCCTGATCATCCTAGAGAAGAGGAAGAAGAAACTGAAGAAGAAGAAGTGCCGGACTACTCACGATTGGTATCCTTTTTAGAAGCAGATGATAATTCCTTCCTTACACCATGGAATTGGAAGCCTGATCATCCTAAAGAAGAAATTGAAGAGGAAGAAGAAACTGAAGAAGAGGAAGAGGCAGACTATTCACGATTCATATCCTTCTTAGACGATGATAACTCCTTCCTCACACCGTGGAATTGGAAGCCTAACTTTCATGCTGAAAAAGGAGGACATGAAGAAGAAGAAGAAGAAGAAGGGCGGAACTCGAAGCCTAACAGTTTGAAAAACGATACCCCAAAACAGTACATGAAGTTCCAACCTGGATCATTCTTTACATATAATGTGAAGCTAGAGCAGCAACAGCCACAACCCTCACAAGAGAATAATGATTGAAGATCAAAGCTGAAGAACAATATTTTAATGGTCAACTAATTCAATGATAATTTGGTTTTTCTGATATCTAATTATTTCTTTACATTTAGGATTAAGGAAATAGTATGTTTATTTTTCAAGATTTTTTATGAGTAACTGACCTTGATCCTTTATCTATATATAGAAAAACAAAAAAATAGACCACTTCCATTTATAGTGCTTCCAAGTTTGCAACCATTGTATAGATCACTCTTTATAGACTAAAGAAAAGAATATACCTTTTTGGAAAGACTATTGTAACGAATAATTATTTGTCATGTGAAAAGCAAGTCCAGAAATATTTCTGATCACCAATCACATTCCCGTACACTTCATATTCCAACACAAGATGATTTACATAATGCAAAGATTGGGATATCAATGAACCATATCGTCCCATTGATCTTTTGATACAGGTCAATCTTATATAGCTCGGGAATGACTTGAAGCCATAGTAATTTTAAAAGGATGAAAATCAAGCAAGAACTACCAAACAAGATTAAAAAAACGAAGAAAAAAAATTCACTTACAGATAAGTGCAAAACTCTAGCTAATGTTGCAATCTCCAGAATTTCCCTCATCACCAGAGAATCCTAAAACATAAGCAGCTTCGTCTTCTTCATCGCTCTCAATATCAGCTCTACCATATCTTCTTTCATTATAAGCCAGTGCTTGTCTCCTATGCAACCGCAAGACGTGCATGATAACATCAGGGGTAAGTGTAACACGCGAATGGTCCACTCTGCCTTGCCTATTAGACTCCATAATCTGTTCAAACAAAAACAAATTGGCAAGAACATGTAAGCAACAACTCCAGTGCCTGAAGCGAAATTTCTCTCTACCCCACAAGGTAAATGGAATAGTAAAACCTTTAGATGGTTACCTCTTGAACATTGTGAGGCAGGGGAAGAACATCATTTGATACAGGAGCCCAGAGCTTTATATTTTTTTCTATTCCAGAGGTTGCAATCACAGGCATATGTGGATGGGGCTCCAGTTGATTTACTATGTGCTGATCACCAACCATTAAGCGCACGAGTTTAGCTCCTTCCTTCTTCCATATAAATATGTGACCACAATCGGACCCACTCATGACGTATTCGTCATGAGGACCAAAGAAACTCACTCCTTTAACTGTTCGTGAATTCCTATGCCCTGAGTAAGCTTGTGGTTCTTCCAGTTTCTGCAAATCCTCATGCGGGACTGACAATGGGGATGGACCTATCCCCATGTTCTTCTGGAATAAATAAATGAGCTCGTCATTGTAAGAGACAAGCAATTCACTTGAGTTTGAGTATGCCAATGCTGTTATATGAACATCATGAGTCTTAATTAGGTGATTAGGGCAAAATGTATTAATGGGTGCATCTCTGTTACTTGAAGCATCTGATTGGTATTTTCTAATGTCGTAGACTCGTGCATATTCATCAGAACCTCCTACGGCAAAGTAATCAGGATTTCTTGTGTCGACCACAATAGCATTCAATCTTATGCTGCTTGAAGACTGCTTTTTATCTGTGAAAGAGGAGCAACAGAAGAGCTTTCTAGCAGAATTACTTCGCAGATCAAACTGCAAAAGGAAGAGGTGATTCTGATATTAAAATGAAAATTAGGGAAAAAATCTTTTACAACCGAAACATTAGTGATTTAACATACATGTTGAACAAAGCCATCTTCGCCACAGCTATAAAATATGCGGGGATTTCCAGGCTCCACCACAATATTGTGCACGCGACCTTGGTGCTCCGCTAACATTTTTGTTTCTACTTTGCCATTCTCCAATACCTGACCAAGCCTAACCTGGAAAGAGCAGAAATTGTTACCAAGGGAAAGGGAAACAGTTCATAGGCAAGCAAGCAGAAGAAAGAAATGGTCCTGTTGGTTTAAACCCGTAAAATCTTTCAAACTGAATTTAGAGGATTTTTATTTGGCCTCAGCACGACCTTGCTCCCAACTATGACAACCCCGATCCGTAATTAATCACTAATCCGTAATTAAGGATGTCAATTAAGCGATTAAAATCAATTATGTGTTTATTGTGTATTTTGTGTACTATTTGGCTTTCTATCTGTTACTTGTAGAACTATCTGTTTAAAATTCTGCCTTGATCTGAAAAATTGAAAGCCTTATCGGCATTCGAAACCGGAATTGATTACACGGATATGGTATTTGGAATTTTCAAAACACCTTGGCAAATTTAATTAAAAATTGATTCAGTGTGATTAATTTAGTTTTGTTTAGTAAGCCTAATGTTCTAATTAATGTAATAAGCCACTCCAGCTATAAATATGGTGCCATAAGCTCATTTGAGCTCATTCTTGAGCCTTTCTTAGTGCAAAAATCTGAGTTTATACATTTTAGAGGGAGAGTGAGCTCAATTTTAGAGAGAGAAAGTGTGTTTGTGTAGAGAACTTGAAGATCATTGCTTGTGGGATCAAGAGTGTGAAAGAATTTAACTAATTCAAGACTCTAGGTAAGAACTCAACCTCTAATTTATGATTCTAAGCTACCAAACATGAAGATTATGTGTTTAAATGTGTAAATTGAGGCTTAGAATGAAGAATTAGGTTGCAAGTTATACATGCATGCTCATGCAGGTGTTAAAGCATTATGTTAACTATGAGCTTCATCAATTGTGTTGAATTTGGAGGATGAAATATACATGCTTGCATATTTCAGCAAGTTTTGCAAGTCAATTCTATGTTTTTGAAGTCTTGAAAATGAATTTGGAAGAGAATTCCACTATATGCATGAATAGATGGAGTTTTGCTCTGTTGAATGTAGTCTTGATCATCCATGGTAGAATTGTGGATTAATTTGTACATGTATGTTTGATTTATCATGTTTACCTCTTAAATTCACGTTTTGAAAAATAATTTCTTACATGCATGGAGCTTATGAGCTCAAATTTGTTAACTTTATGAGTTTTGGAGAAAGGAACTTGAAAGGTTTTACATACATGAAAGGTGAATTCAATTTTGGCTAAATTCATGAGTTTTGAGCAAAGGGTTTGTAAAGGATCATGTATTCATATTTATGGAAAAGTTTTCAAGCTTTAAAGACAAGCCATGCATGAGTTTACCTTTGAAATTACATTTGGAAGCTCAAAACTCTGTTTTGAAAACCCAAAATTTTTGTAGTTCGCTCGAGCGAAGGATTTGCCGCTCGAGCGAACATTTCGAGCATCTAGAAGTTTTGCAGTCTATTACAAACTGCTCGAGCGACCATTTGGTGACTCAAGCGAACCCTTTGTATTTGGTTGAACCGTTCGAGCGTAGGAGTTGTGGCTAGAGCGTAGATTGAAACTATCCAGTACTTTTGCAGGTAGAGTAGTCCGCTGGAGCGACCAAAGGTGCGCTCGAGCGGCCAGGCCAAATTCAGCATATTTTTCAGAGATATCCAGTGTTTATATTTTTGTTCCCATCCTTTTCTGAGCATATTTAGATATGAATTATGAGTCATTTAAGAGTAATGAGCTAAGAAATAACATGAGTAATTGACATAGAAAAAATGAGACCAATCCGAAATCCGAGAATGTGATTCACATGTACAAATTATAAGAAATAGACTGAATAAGAAACCAATGTAAAGAAGGCTAAGCCGTGATGGCCAAGTACCTGTGTAATGATAAGATATATGTACTTTGTGGTTGTAGGTCAACACTCGAAGATTGATTGACCGTTTACGGGAGCCCATTATGAGTAACGTTATTGTAAAGATATGTTTATATGAATTATGTTCCAAATGTAATTTGATAGGTTATGATTTTTGAAATGATATTTGTTTACGTGAACGAATGTCCTTTTTGTTTGCGAATCTGTTATGGCATCCACAGATAGTCCCAAGTCATGGGGGACGGCATGTAAATGCGGGTCCATGACGTATATGTGATACGAGATCTTGTTAGCCACTTCATTGTGGTGATATGTGTTTAATCGGTATCCGGAACCGATTACTCTAGTCGGAAGACGATATGTGATGTGTTCTATGGGATGTACTGTTGTTATGTTTAGAAATAAGAATGATTATGTTATGATTTGTTTTATGATTATGATATGTCCGGAATTTGTTCACTAAACCCCTCTACCTCAATGTTATTTATTGAGTTTTAACTCACTGCGTGTATATTTATGTATAGGTGAGCATTCTGGAGATCAGCCCTGAAGACTTTTGTCTGGATTTGTGTTCTGTTGTCAGCCAACCATTGTGCCTCACGTGGAGGTTCCGGAAGTATCACGTGTTATAAGTTCTAGTCGTTTCTATATATGAGACTTGCTTGTTTTTGTTGGCTATACTTAAGATGCTATAATGTGTGTAGATAAAATGTAAGAATGACTTTTGAATATGTATATAAAGTTTTAAATATTCTATTTCATATAAGTTAGCACAGCTCATTGGACGATTATATTTATGTATTTGATTCCGTTAGGTTCTTATTTTGTGATTATGTTTTAGAGGCCGTAGGTAATCTTAAGATTACTGACTGGTTACGGCGCTAAATCTATAGGGGCGAGTTTGGGTCGTGACACCAACTATCTGGGCTTAGCCACAAATATTTTGTTTCTGCCACTAATCTTTGTCTAAGGTCATTGTTTCAATTCAAATGGGTAACTACATGTAGGCATCTCGCAACTTGTGATTCCCACATCACCAAATTTCACATTGACAACCAATGATAGCCTTTAAGCAAACTAGTAGCAGAGACAAATAAGTTTCATTAATCATAGTGTTTTAAAAAAACAAAAAAATGCATTAGGGAGTTAATTAACCTTAATTCATGCTATTCATTAATATATAATTAACTAAGAAGCACGGACATTTCTAACAAAGTAACGTATCCGTATCGTGTCCGTGTCGGATTCTTTGGACACTTCCCCGACATGTGTCCGACACTCTTCAAAACGTGTCTTATTTTTTAAAGATCCGGATACTTTTTAAACACTTGGAGGACACACGTATATCTCTTAAACACACGTGTCTATCGATTAGACACATGTGAAACTAATTATAAGTATAAATAAAACAACTTAAGATACAATAATAAAATAAAAATCATATAAATTTATAAGAATTAGTGTCATATTACATTTTTTATTATCTTTGAATGATATATTCATATATATATAACATATAATAAATATATAAAATTATATATTTCATGCGTGTCCCCCACGTGTCGTGTATTTCATTTTTTGAAATTAGCATGTCGGCGTGTCCGTGTCCATGCTCCTTAGATAATGAATAAAGAAGATATTACTGTTGACCAAATGCCTAAATAACCCACAACAATGATCAACATAAGTACGAAGAAAGAATAAAAATAAACCCTTATGTCAAATATTTCAGATGACTTTCCAAACTACAACCAAATTAATAAGATGTAAATATAGAACACACCTAATGGATTACTGCCTATGGTGCACCTAAAAGATATCTCATAAAAAAAGATAAATGCAGAAAATAGAGAGGGTGACAGAGCTATGTACAAATTTACCTGGCCGTCTGCAGAAGAAGTTACAATTTTCCGATCATCAGTAAATGGCATGATTCTGACCTGAAATATGTTCTCTAGGTGGCCAGAAGGATATGAAAATTCTAATGTTTTTGTTGCCCAATTCCAGAACATAACTTTTCGATCATCAGAACCTGACACGAGGAGGTCACCAGAAGAGTTGAACTGAACTGTGTTCACACAACCCTCATGACCATTTAACTTCCCATACAGATCAATTTTCTTCACAAGGGCCTGCACCGAAAAACACACAAAGGTTCACCAAACCAGCTTGTATTGTAGTACATAGGAATTCCTACTGCAAAACCAATTTAAGAATCACTAACACGCCAAACACGCAAGATGTATACCTTACAAACCGAAACTTGAATGGCCATGGAAATTACAGTCTAGTTATATTCTTATATAAACACATGGCACAAAGCAGCCATAGAAAATTTTACTAGAGGCATTTCATGATGTTAGAAGTGTGATATACCCAAGAGCCCAGCTTGAAGAGCCACAAAAAGCACTCGAGTGATACATAATATTTAGGGTATTATTTTCTGCTGAATTATTCTGCATATTTTCTTTTTGTTTCTTGTATCTTGACTATTAGCATAGATAGCAGCTTTCCTCTTTTTGCTGTTCTTCGACTTCGTATAGCTATGTATTATTGTTCTGAAATTTTCACATGTCATCATATTGTCTCACTCAATAAATTCATGTCCAAATCCAATATTATAAATGCGTAAATCACAGAAAACCAGGTTGATCAGTGCAAACTGTGCAGATTTGAGTTCTGGGCATTTCATCAAAATCATAAAACTCCTGATTCCATGAGATCACCTGTCACAAAAATTTCAATTTCTTCTAACTCCCCTCTGAATTCGAGTGTTGTTGTTTCGTTACCTTAAAAAAAAAAAAAATGATTGACTTGTATCTTTAGCTATCATGGGATAACCAAACCCACCCTGATAACTACCCAATTGATAAATTTATACACTTTGCATCCAAACACAACCAAATCAAAGAGTTATCATAGAAAATTGAAATATTTACACTTGGTTTGGCATAAAAAAAAAAAGAAAGTAAAGAAGTACAGAGTATTACAATTCTACAATTGAGAGAAGTGAACTACTGGTTGAGAGAGAGAGAGAGAGAGAGAGAGAGAATCGGAACCTCAGAAGAAGAGATTCGGCGAGTGAAGAATTGGGGTTGAGAAAAACCCATCTCTCTCCGAAAAACCTCTGAAAAAGCATATTGGGAACCCTTCTGAGTACTCTCCATTTCTTACTAAAATTTCCAAGTGTTTAGTGTGTTAGATACATACATACAGAGAGCTCAAATCAAAATCAATGATATGCATATACTGATGATGAGAGAGAATTTTCCTGAAGGAGACGCTCAGACGTGGCGTTTGATTGGGAGAGGATCGCCAAAAAGGGAAAATTGCAAAAGGGGAATGGTTGCGAGTCTCATACATTTCTTACCATTCAACCCATAATCATGTAATATGACAAGGTCAGTTATTAATTGATTAAACATTTAATAATACGAAATAGGACTTGGGACGGTTGTGAGCTAAATGGATTCATTTGGGATTTATTTTAATAATTTGAATTGTTTATATTTTAGAATATATTAATTAAAATATACATGTAAAAATTAAATTAATCGGATATCGTTAACTTTTTCATTTACCTATATTTGTATTTATTTTAATATTTTAAATCACAATTGTTATTTATCTTTGTAAATATAAATGTGAGTGGATGAATGGATAAACGATATTCGATTAATTTGATTTTTTGCAAGTATGTTCTACTTGATATATTTTAAAATATGAACGATTCAGATTATCGAAATGAGCTCTGAAATAGACTCATTTGACTGTACAGCAGTGGTTATTGTGCCCCCAAACAACAGCCACCCCAAATTCTATAAAATCTATTACTTTTGTTATATTATTATAAATGTATTTGCAGGTGTAAAACGTGCATCTCTAAATATTATTGGTTGCAAATATATGAGAAATAACAGAGTAAATTGAAATCAAATAACGGTCAGTTTCTCTAGTCTGACTGTTGGGCTTGTGGAGGCCCACTATGGATCTTATTTTAATAATTTGAATCATTTGATGTATAGAACTTGTCGAGTATTTCATCCTTGCAAAAAATCATGCTAATCGGATATTGATAGCTACTTGATCAAATCATATTTCTGTCAACAGTAAATATGATTTTCAAAATAAATTATTAACAAAAATCGGATTTGATCAAGTAATTATCGATATCCAATCAACATTTTTTTTTTTTGCAAGAATAAAATACTCAACAATCTCTACAGATTGAACGATTTGGCTTATCAAAATTGACTCATGGTGAACCACATGAGACTGAACAACACGATGCAGTTCACATAAATGGACTGGAGATAATTTGTTTCCATCAAATAATACCATCACCACACCGAGAAGTTATTGGTTGGTCGTGGATACTGTCAGTGGTGTTCCAATAATGTTATAATTGGTGGAAGAAGTGAGACTCATAATTTCATATTAGATGATTGGAGAATATAATGAACAAGGTGATTTGTGATTGATGACAAGCACTGCCACGCCCTGACCTAACCAATAATTTTTTTATCACCATGACATTTATATATCATATTTTATTCATATAATCTGATATTTGTATTGACTGCATTATTATTTCAATGGAGGAATATTTTTTTATCTTATGTACTTTATTATAATTTTTTTTTTTATAAAAAATATTACCTAATTTTTTTAATAAAGTTATAATAATTTGTGATTTAGAAATAAAATTATACATTTTTTTTTGATAATGCTACAAATTTTTTTATCAAAAAATTTTTGAATCACAAAATGTATAATTTCATTTCCAAATTACAAATTATCGTAATTATATTTTTAAAAAAATTACATAACATTTATCACAAAAATATCTAACATAAACTAACAAAATGTGTAACGCATAGACATATAATACACACCTTATACGAGTTTTCAAAAAATATTAAATAAAAAAAATCACAAAATGAAAATAATACACAAATTTTAACATGACAATATTATTATTAAAATAGAAAATGGATCTTTCATAATCCAAGCAACTGCTACAAGCTTTTCGAAGTAAAATAGTTATTTATCTACTGTACCAGTAAGAAATAATCTACTCGTATAATCCTGTTGATCTATTCTGCGCTCTTCCAAACGTCGTCGCTTTACTCCCTGAAAACACAAACGTGAGCTAGCCGGCGGGTGTGTGCCGGATACCTCTCCGATACCTAAGTCAGCAAAATAGACAAATAGACAAAGGCTCTGTGTATTCGAGAATCAAAGTTGTGTTATCTCTCCATAGGTGATGACATGAGCTTTTATAGGTTCCGCGTGGCACAATCCTAGTAGGACTCTTATTCCTCCATGCAGAGTCCTCCTAGGAATCACACTTCTAAAAGATAATGTCTATCCTTCAACACCCCCCTCACTACTTAAACCAAGTGAGATGGTCCTAGCTCGGAGGCATATCCAAACTACCGAACTAGCATTGCCATGATACAATGACAATATAACCGAGCTAACAATACTCAGATTACATTTATCCCGGCGCTTTATGTGTAACATGTACCTCGGCTTTGCCTGTAGACTGTGCTAACCATAGCGTATTTGGACCGAGCTACTCAACAGCAAGGTCCTAAATAGAAGCCAAAAATACCTCGGCTCAAGATGGTTTGACCGGGCTAACTGTTACCGCACCGACCGTGGTGACCGAGCTAACCACCAAGCTCCTTCGGACCGGGCTATCTGCAAGGCTCCTCTAGACCAGACTAATTACAAGGCCCTTTTACTCAGCCCTTCTTACTGTGGCCCACAAAATGACCCATTACCTAGCTCGGCCCAATTTACATATAAATTACCCTCTCAATTGCCCCTTAATTCCATCTGCGCAGCATGATAGGGATTACCTGTTACCAGCCGAGCTAAAAAAGTTTTAGCCTTCCAACTGAGCTAAAACACTTTAGCCTTCCAACCGAGCTAAATTCACACCGTGCTACCCATCTGTCTGGTCAAAAACCTCTCTTCAGTCGATGTGACTGAATCGCTTCTTATTCCAAGAACATGTGGCACACTATCATTGGCCCAATGCAGCTGTCGCACCATCTTCGTATTTCGCGTAATTTGAACAGTCCCGCCCAATTTCTCCTTTTTCACAAAAAAACCACTCATTTTGAATCTATCATGTCTACTATTCATCATTTTTTTCTCTCTCTTTGAGCTTCTTCTCCCTTGTTCTCTTGCAACTGTGGAGCTCGTGTTCTTGCTGGGATCCTTTTCATCTTTGGTCCCTCCATTTTGAACTAGTAAGTAACTCAAATCTGTTTCCTGTTTGCTGATATCGTCCATGTTTATATAGCATGCTTAGTTGTATGTTTTTTCAAAACATATGCCATGTTTGCTTCCATTTTTCTGCGAAAAACCATGTAATAGAACCACTTGTACTCACGAATAATCTAAAGAACGATGTATTTGATCCAAAATCACACACCAACCGAACTAGGAAGTTGTATGTATTAGGTGCGAACCCAGCCAAACTAAACAACCGAACTAACACTTCATGCCATACTTGTAGTTTCAATAAGTCTAAATACCTTGTGCTTTATTGGCCGAGCTAGCGGACTACCTTAGGTTCGCGCAGTACTATGCTAGAAAGCCTCAACTGCCAACTGAGCTACAACTAAGGCTAAACCCGCTCCCTTAGTCGAAACCGAACTAGGAATGCTGCTCCAATAGCTTTAACCGAGCTAAAGTCTCTCGCTCAAACCGAGCTAAGAACAATAGTACCCCACGTAGCCGAGCTAGGATTTTATTTATCTTTGTTTCGCTTAGCACGGTCCAACGATCTGTGCTTAACACTTTTCTCTTTTACTTTGCAGACTTTGACTAGGTTGCCCAGGTACTCCTTTTGAACGTTCGACCGAGATATCCGACATCTTCTCAGCGCCGAGCTAACACTTAGGCTAATTTATTCATAATTTAATAGCAAATGGGTAAATATAGGTTTTTAATAAACTCACCAGGGACCATGGCCGAGTTCCGAAAGGACTACCATATTCCTGATGATGTCCTTCTTATCTTGGCCGACCTAGATACCATACCCTGGGAAAACCCTGGCTTCGTTCCTTTCACCCTCCTTTCTATTGTAGAAACCAGCCTAAGATTCCCCGTACAACCCCTTCTTTGTGAATTCCTCAGACAAACAAACCTTTGCCTTACCTAACTTTTCACCAATTCTTACCGCATAATAAACGGCATTGCCGAGCTAAACCGTCGGGCTGGCCTTCATCTCGGTATAGCCGAGCTCTTCCACCAATACTCCATAGGATTAGCTGAAGATGGCTGGGTTTACTATTTAAGAGTAAGACGTCGTCGTGAAAAGATAATAAAAAATACCCCGGATAAAGATGTGAATGATGATGATTTCTTCTGGGTATCTGGGAACTTTGAGGACCAACAACGCCTGATCCCAGGCGACAGAATAAATTGGAACAAGGGTGAAGCCGGTAGGATTACTTCGGCTCAATTCCATGTTTTTCTTTACTTCGGCTTTCTTATCTTGAACCGTACTAACTGTAGTCTCCTTCCTTCATGTAGATTTGAATTTCCTTAAGTCTCAGCACAGCTACCCAAACTTAAACGTACTTCGTGCCGCACTCCGATATCCAAACAGAGGTTGGGCCGAGCTACTGAATTTTGAACCGACCTACCGATATAGTAGCCGCAAGAAGATCAGAGTGACCGATTTCCTCTTTGAACCTTCGCAAGAGCCAGATCCATCCTTGCCTCAAATCAATCTCATCCAACTAACTGTCGAACAAGAAATGGCCAAGAAAAGAGCAGTGAGGGCCCTTCTAATCGAAACAAACCAGGCCGAGGTACCACCAGCAAGCCAACCTCAAGAGACTGTGGTAGCCTTACCAACCGCTCAGCCTTCTTCATCTCGGCCAAACAAGCGCGCCCGGACTTCCACGACTGAGCCGCGCCTCCTTGATGAAGAAGACACCGTTCTCACACAATCCAGTCCACCAAGCCCACAACCAGAGTGCTCAGACCGAGCTAACTCCTCCAAGTGGGTGCCAAAGGTTACCTACAAGAACCGCGCTATCACTGACTCCGACTCAGTGGTCGTAGAAAAGGACCATATGCTGGCATTTAATCTGGCCAAGAGCGTCTGCCTTCCAACTGATATGGATCACCACGATCATCTTACTGAGCTGAAGGCCATTCGCTCGGCTTCCAAATCAATGGTGTTGGTAAGTTCTCCTTTTCCTTCTCCAAATTTCAATATCTTTTTGCTCGGTTTATCTCAAAATTTGTTTTTCTCCTTTTGCAGGCCTTGTAGAAGAACCACGTTGTACACAAGCGCGTGTTGGAGCTTCGAAAGACTACGAGAGAGGCCATGGCAGAGGCCAATGCTAAAATGG